GGGGGGAGAGGGGGTGAGAGTCGAAGGTGAAAGTCGTGCGCCCCTGAAGCAGGGGAGAGTCGAAGATGAGAGTCGGGTGCCCTTGAAGCAGGGGGAGAGGGGGGTGAGAGTCGAAGGTGACAGTTGTGTACATATACATACATATATGTGCACAACTCCCTCTCGACAAAAATTTGTCCAATCGACAACACTAGCACTGTTCATCCCCCCCCCCGTGTGTGTGTATTTATTTTAAAATAGAGAATTTTTGCAATATATAGTAAAACTTTGATTGTTAATAACTCTTCGACGAAGGGTGAGCGACGGCTAAAACCTGTTGGAGGTTACTCAGGGTCATGACCTTGACAATATATGTCAAGATCGAGGTCATTGAGGGGGGATCCCCTAATCGGAACTTTTACCTTCATATTTAACTATTAACCTTATTAACTATCATCTTATTAACCGCATCCAACACTAAAAAATTCTTTTGAAAGTTGAGAGTCCTAACAGCAAATTTAATTTTGATTACAATGAAACTTCTCCAGTATATCATACATCATAGTTATAATCTGACAAAGTACATAAAAATAATCTTTTTTCAAATCGAATTACAAATTTTTCAAAATTGTGACATGAAGCAATTGGGAAATATAACATCTAAAAAACTATAAAGAATAGCTAATCTTATTCCGGTACTTCGAAAAAAAAAATTTTTGTCGGACAGTTTAATCATAATAATACTATTAATATACCCTTTATCACAATAACCCACTTTCTGTTGCACATTACATAGTAGTTTTACAATTGCATTTATAAGACCTGTAAACTGATGAGATCTCCTCTGCAAATAATATTTACCATTGTTAAAAATTATTTGACAAAAATTAATATCTAAAACGATACACTAGAGCATACTTACAAAAATTAATATCTAAAACGATACACTAGAGCATACTTACAACGTGTTCTATTAAAGTGACACATTCTAGGATAATCTCAAGCATTTCAAATTCATGGCCCTTCTTTGGCCATGTATTATAACGTGTCATTTGTTGCAGATAATAATTGTAACATTCATCACTTCGTGTGAGCAATTGTGATTTTCCTGCTAAATAATTACTTAAGTATAACGATTCAATACTAATGTGCGAAAGTATACCGAGCAATCTTCTAGCCTCGATACCACGTTCTCCTTCATGCCACGCATTTGCTTCACATTCAGATTTAATACATATATTATGATCTTTATAAACTGTAGAAAAATATAAGTCGCTCATATCTCGAATATCATCATTCTTCATAGCTTGAAAAATTGTTTCCAAAACTGTTATAACATTTAATATTAACTCTCTTGCAGTTAAGACCAGCTAAAACACAAAAAATACATATATGTATATATATATATATAGAGTGTTTCATAAAAAAGCCTTTTAGAGCCAACACAAATTATAACTTATAAGAGTGTATAAAAATTCACGTTTATTTAATGCGATAAATAATGGGATAAATAAACAATCCAACTCTTTTTTGGGCCTTTCACAACATATGTACTATCTATATAATTACATATTTATAATAATAGAAATTGGTTTCAAAATGGAAGTGAAAAAGGAAACGTAAGTATATAGCTCTTTTTCACAAAAATATTTTATGAAAGAACTTTTTAGAACAAAATAAGATTACTTCTTCTTTGCAGTATAGATGACACTAAAATACTGCTCGTTT